ACCAAGCCATTTATCCCTCCGCCTTTCAATTAAACCCACATGTGTTTATCAGCCAGGTTGGCACAATAAACTAGCTAACTCAGCCTTCATTTGGGTTTCAGGAATTCCTCTCGGTTACATTGTCCTTGATCCAGCCCTGCCAGATCTCCTACACCCTTCTTGCCACTGATTTGGATCATTTGCTGTTCCCTTGTCCCTGGGTTTGTTAACACCCACTTCCTTTCCCACTGCCTCCCTCTCTCCCATGCCGCCCCCCCCCCCCCAACTGTCATCCCGTTATTCTCTCTTCCGGCTTGTTTACCCCGCCTATCCCTTCCAGGTAGACATGCAGCAACAGCACTATGCACCAACACTAGACTGAGCACAACGAAGCAACAAAAGAAAATAAAACAATAGCTACAACAACAACAAACCGTATAAATAGTTCAAGGTCTATTTGTTGTCCTTTACGAGTGCTTTCCAGTCCAGTCTGATGGGGTGCCATGCCCTGGCCCCACATCTATCCCTGGCATTCCCTGGGGACTTCATTGTTCTGCTCCCCTGCTGCTTTGCTGCACACCCCGGAGTAGTGGGCTCAGGATGGGCACAATTCCCACCATGTGTCTCTAGTGTTGTCCCCTGTGGTGCTATGGGTCAGTGAGGAACGTTGTGCCTCGTGGTGGGGCCAGCCCTGTGGTCATCTCTGTGCATTGGCTGCTCTGAGCAGAAATATTGTCCTCAGGGCTTGGTGGGCAACTCTTTTTCCCCCCTCCCCCCTTGTTGGCTCCTGTGTGCTCTGATCAGACAACTCCCTTTCCTTCAGCTGTAGCTTCAGCACTGTCCTCTGAAGTGAATTCTTCGGGAGTGGGTGGGGGAAGGGTGGTGCTGTCCACTTAGTTGGTAATGGGGTGGCCCCTCAGGCCTCTCTATCGGTTCCCTGCTTCATGTCAGTGTGTTGCATTCGTGTCTTGGAACACCGGGTTGAAGTCTGGTCCCTCTTTCCCTGTGACGATATAAACAACACCCTCCCCTTACGTGGGTTAGTGCCCTGTTCTCCCGGCTTTTTTCCCCCTCCTTTTTAGTTGGCTACTAGATGTCTCCCTTGGTTTAGTCTGCCCCTGCCACATTACCTAGACCTCAGCCCAGGAATGTTTGCATACAGTAGCTTCTTCCCTGTGCCCCTTTCGGGCTTTTTGAGCTTCCCTCAGGGCACTCATGTTGTACTTGTCCTTTTGTGCTTGGCTTACTTCACGTAGCATGATTTCCTCCAGTTCTTCCCATGCGGCAATGTGCTTCATGCGTTCATCACTGCTTTTTAGGGATGCGTAATACTCCATTGTGTGTATGTCCCAGAGTTTTTTAATCCATTCATCTGTTGATGGAAATTTGGACAGTCTCCAGCTCCTTGCAATTGTGAACTGTGCCGCGATGAACATTGGAGCACAGATGTCTGGCCATGGTTTGTTTTTTGTCTCTTCCGGGTATATGTCCAGTAGGGGGATTGCTGGATCATCTGGTAGCTCAATTTCCAACTGTTTTAGATATCACCAAATCGATTTCCATAATGACTGCACATACCTACAGGTCCACCAGCAGTGGACGAGAGTTCCTATCTCTCCGCATCCCCTCCAACACTTGTTCCTTTCTGGTTTCTTGAATTGGGCTATCATTGAGGGTAGTATCTCATAGTTGCTTTAATTTGCATTTCTCTTATGAGCCCAACTTTATTAACCAAAATATATGGCACATTCTTTGTCTTCTAAATAAAATGCACTGTATTTTTATCCCTCCCCCCTCCCACCCCCAAAGTAAATAAATAACCCCCAAAGATCAATGCCATGGAGTCAGTCCTGGCACCAGACCGCGTGGAATAGTCCCGTTGGGTGCCTGAGACTTTGGGCCCTATAGGACAGCGTGGAACTACCCCTGCTTGGTTCCCAAGATCTTTATAAGAGTAGAAAGCCTCCTCTTTCGCCCAAAGAGCAACCAGTGGTTTCCAACTGCTGCCCTTGTGGTTAGCAGCCCAACATGCCACCTCTAGACCGCCGGGGCTCCTCTGAGTGAGGAGCCATAGAAATAAAAACTATAAGGAGAAGATGGCACACGAAGGGCTGTGAAACACTGAGGTGCTAAAGGAGGAAGGTGCGAGGCCCCTGAAAAGTCTGTTTCAAAAACCGTTGAGTCATTAGGTACAGCAGAAAACCACAGTACAAAAACACGCCTTTTATTATACATAACAAGACCCCATACATCACGTACAGACCAACCTAATGCCTTTGGTCATATTAGGAAGGAGCTGGCTTCCCTTTCTGTACCTGCTGGGTATTTCCCCTCAATTTCAGAGACCTGTGCACAGCGAAGCCCCAGCATTAAGCCCAGTGACATGGAGGATGTATAAACTCTGCCGCTGGAGCAGGAAACCATCAGGGCCACCAAGCGGTTCCTGGAGAGAACGGTAAAGGAGCACTCGTGGCAGGATTTCAAGCATCATCAAATGTAACCCCTTCTAAAAGCAGCAGGTAACCTCTTCTCTGCCAGGAGGATGAATTGTACCAGTCCAGGGAGTCTCTCATTCTGGGGCGCCTGCTCCCTCCAGCATGGCCCAGTAGTGTCCTTTGTTCTCCAGGAGCTCCTGGTGGGTTCCCGCCTCACGGATGGTGCCCCCTTCCAGAAAGAGGATTCGGTCGGCCTGCTTTACCAAATGCAGACCCTGAGTAATAAGGAGCACTGCCCGAGAGCACCGTTGGGGATTTTTGTACAGGAGCTGCTCCACCTGAGAAAAGACAGACGCCGTGAGAGCCGGGGGCATCCCCAAGGAAGACGGGTGTGTTTCCAGAGCTGGGCAAGACCTGTGCAGGATCAACACGACCTCTGCCTGTAACCCAGGGGGACTGATGGCTCCTGTCCTGAGTGCTCCTCTGTCAGACCTATGTGTCGGTCAGGGACATTTCCAGGAGATGGCCAGAGAGAGGAAGAGGGTGGGGAGGTGGGGGGGTGGCATAATCGTAAGAGAGCCCTACAGTGAAATTCATAGGAGGGCGAAGGATCCTGAGTTGTCTCTCATCTAACCATGCACTGGGACTTTTCAGATTCTGTTTTAAGAAAATACAACGGGGG